GCTGTGGATAAATCTGCGAGAAAAATACCTCAGTGACGAACTGTAATAAATTCAAACATGAATTTATACTAATATTGTTTGCGATTGTGGTTGCTGAATAAATGCACTTATGCAAGCTCTGTACTACAGTACAAAGCCTTTTTTGTTGTTGTAATAGAAAAAAGTTAACTTAATTTGCAATTACTCAAATTAATAATAGGAATTTCACCGTTTTAGCTTCTTTAAGCCTCGTTCACACTACAAGCGACTTTGTCGCTGCAGGTCGCCAGTGGCTGCGCTGGAGGGCGTTCCCACCATATGTTAGACAACAAATACGTTTTCTTGCCTATTCAAACAAATATTTTGGAAGGAAAAGTCTAAATATAAATGGAATCAGTACATAAAATGCATAATATTAAAGATGAACGAGAAACAGTGAGTGCTCTTTGCCATCGCGGCTATTTAACTGCAGCAAACGGGCAAATACCGGTCTATCTTGGTTCCCGAAACCATTCAGGCACGGAGTCAGTACGGTGAATACCACTGTATATACACGGAGATATATCATAAATTATAGGACGGTTTCTGACTGCTAAAATGACTGACTCGGTCAGACTCCGCACTGAAGAGTGACGCGCTCCACTGACTTCACTCCTATTGGTTGTCGCTCCCAAAAGTCGCTCTGCATTTGCATAAAGTTAAACAGATCTCAACTTTGTCGCGTTGCCAGACACGCCCCACCGGTCGCTGTCGCGCGTGTCGCCGGAAATCGACCGCTCCCCAAGTCCCCATTGAAATGAATGGTATCGTGTCGCTTTGTCGCTTGTAGTGTGAACGGGGCTTTAGGTTTTACCAGTTTTCATAATGAAGAGTGTGTTGTTGATGTATCTAAATATAATGAATCAGGAAACCAGATAGGGTAAAATAAACCCTGCGTACGAGTTCTCCTGATTTGTGCTCAAGTGAAAGGGCAAGAATTCAAATCAGGATTTGAGAAATTATTAATCACAATTATAATTTGAGCAAAATAATCGTTTATCAGTTTAACCATTATTGTGCAGCCCTAGTAAACAGGCTGCCAAAAATGCACCAGTACATGTGAACAATGCAATCGTCTAAATGTGTTCATATTGTATTCACATCTCTGCGAGATTCGAACTTGAATGCTATCACATTTCCTCCAGACCACCAGCCAAGACACAACAGAAAACATCAAAGGCACCAAGATTTAGCATTCCTGTCAGAGAACTACAACCAACAGGATTTTCTCAAAACAGGTCGCAACACCACCCTCCTAACACTATTTTAATGACTTTGCCAAGAAAGCAGAGTTAGAAGATTCCCACCTATACAGTTAATGCAAAATTTGATTCCCAGTAAATTAAATGCATCCTGATAACATGGACAACTACTGAAAAACTGCAATAACAATACTGTCTACTACAGGCATGGTTGCCACACAAACCTTATTTATGAGCCATACAAAAAGATACTGAAGCAAACACTATAGCAGGGCCATAGAATATGCTGACTTGAGTAATATTACAAAACCTGTGGGAATATCAGAGCATGCTATCATTATATTGGTCTATTACTGCTGGTATCTATAGCGCTCCCACTGCCAGCAGCACGATTTTGCCTAATGGCACCAACAAGTTATTGGAGAGTTACACTATAAAAAGAGATATATAGTAAAGAAGCAGCTCATCATAAAAGAAAAACCTTGCGTCAGTGCCACCAGAGCTATGTTACTGAGTGACCAGTAGGGATGTGCAAAATTTTCAAAAACAACTAGTTAACTAACTGGTCTTAAAGGACCCATGAATAATAAGGCTGGTTTTGGGTTTGCTTGAATCAAAAATCAGATAGAGGGGTAAAAAAATAATATGAGGTTTTAAGAGGTTAAAATGTTGAATATTTTTAATTTGACATACTGTCTTATATGCACAATGTTTGAATTGCTTGTGGTGGGACCCTAAAGAAAATTTGTACCAACCAAAGATCCATGTGAATGTGCTCGTTGTAGCTGGTTGCTTAAAGGATTAGTTCACTTTAGAATAAATTTCCTGATAATTTACTTACCCCCCACGTCATCCAAGATGTTCATGTCTTTCTTTCTTCAGTCGAAAAGAAATTAAGGTTTTACCGACCTAGTGTTTACAAAGCAAATGTGCAAAGACTAACTCAAACGCCATTTACAAAAAAATATACAATAAAAACGTAAAACAACGATGTAAGATGAATTTGAAATTGGAGGAGAAAATGAGATGGACTTTTTTGCCTATACCCTACCTTTTTGAACCGATAGACCCGATTTGAACCGATAGGCCCTTATAAAATGATTACGTGATGCGTGGCGCATCGCAGAGCTAGTGCAAGACTGGTAAAAAAACTGTGTAGACCATCAGCGCCTCATTACGCGCCTGGCGTTTTAAAAATGTGGCGCTCCCATTGAAAACAATTGGAAAAATAAGCCAGCCGCGTGGAAAAACGCTTTGGTGGAAACAGGGCCTAAGTAAGCGAGGATGTGATTTGTTCACACTGACCCAGAAATTACCCCAACTGAGAATTTACATTTCATACAATTTAAAACATTACAATAAATTGCTTCTTTTTTTTTTATCTTCATATAATGAAATAACAACTCAGGCTATATCCATTTGTGTTCCACAGAAGAAATAAAGTCATACGGGTTTGTACTGACATGAAGGTGAGTGAATACATTTTTAGTTTTGGGTGGGCCCTTTAAAGATACCATATGTAATTTTTTTCGCCGCTTGGGGTCGCTAACCTCTTACAATAACAAAGGTGTAGGTTGATGATGCCAAATTTCCTGCGGAATTATGGAACTTCAAGCCGATGGATCTATTTAATGTTTATGGATGAGTGAATACATTGATGTTTTTATCATGACTGTGGTATGAAGCAGGGCACGATTGCTAATGAGACAGATAGCAGCGCCACACGCGAGTCCCCCGAGCCTCGTGGATATAAAGGATTAAGGACATTTAATTCTAACAAACTACACGCAAGTGCTGAATTACTACTCACACAGATCAGTTTATTAGACGAATTAAACGTGAGGTAAGTCAGCGCTGTTTCACTTGGTCTAACTTACACTATCACACTAAACTGCATTTGAGTGTGTTGAAAGTTGTTAACTTATTCTATGTGTTAGTTTGTTGGCTATATGAGACTAGTCTAGCAGTAAGGTAGATCAACATTAGAATAACATACAGATCATATTCTAACATTTCATCATGTTGAGCTATATAACATTGATTAGTTTTATGTAACGTTACATTTGTTCACTTGTCTAATAAAGTAGGCCTACATGCAAGAGCGGCGTCTCTGTCAAGTCGAAGTTTGTCACGGGCGTGGAGCTATCGGCATCTCGAAAACGCCACGCTGATATTGAGCCTCGTTTTAGTTCTCCTTTTTTCCCAAAGTCTGCTTGCCATGGTCCATAATGTTTAAACGAAACGACAGCGTGAGCGTGCCAGACGTAACGCAGTTGTCCACGTCTGTTGCCATGGTTGTACTATGGTAGTACTTGAGCGGAAACCAGGGATAACGCGGATATTACATCATTGACAGGCAACAAGTGAACAGGTTTTCCGGGACGGACAATTATTTAAAATTGGAATTTCTCTGAAATTAAAAATCTTTGGGAACTTTTGGGATATTGTACAACTGCAGGAAATATATCACACTGTGCAAGTGATATTTGGATATATTTTAATACACAATTATTACATATTGTATCTTTAAAGTAGACATGAAACGGAATTTTTGATAGTATTTTCTTCCCTATTGTGATGTATAACCGAGTGAAACGCCTTCTCGAATAAGAAAAAAATGTAGGGTGGGACTTGATTTTGTCCATGGGGAATTGATTGGATCATTGTGGTCTGCTATTGCTGTGATGTCATGTGAGTGACAGGCTGTCCTGCCCTTGTGCAAGCAAACATGTCATCATAGAAAAAGAAGAGGGAGGGGAAGTTGGTTTGATTAAAGATTACGAGGGTACATGAATTTTATCAAAATAATAATGTGCACAGATAATTTATAATAAATACTACAATATTTCATTAAAAAACAAGAATTGTCCGTTTTGATTTCATGGTGACTTTAAGGATATGGAGTGCACAGTGAATTAATTTGTAAGACTAAATTACAACAATAATTAAAGCACAAAAAGAGAGGAATTTGACTACAAGAACTCCCACCACAGCCTAAACCAGCTACTAAAAGGCTTAATCTTAAACCCAGCATTAAACTTTAAGAGCTCCTCAAGCATTGCCCTGATGCTTTGCAATTATGTGGTAAGAGCAGAATTACTGCATCACGTGTCCAAATAAAGTTCCCATCTAAAAGGTTGCGACAGCAATGAAGGGCATTAGGAAATTAATTATTGGATTCAAGTACAACACGCAAAGGGCTTAGCTTGCAAGACTGGGCAGTATTATTTGATTAATACTATCAGGAATGCAGCTCAACTTTTTTTTTTTTTACATTGGCAGGACACATTTATACGCGCTGCCTAAAGCGATTATCTTCACCACAGCAGAGGCGTCGCCAGTCTCTCAAACCTAGTAAGATGACTGTCCTAACCCTAGTTAGCCAAATCAAAAGCCTTTGAAACAACCGTCAACTTCACAAAAATATATATATATTACGGCTGCTAAACCCCATAAACTCATGTTTTGAATCGCTAATGTGCGTGGCACGACTCACTTAGCAACAGCTGGTCCATGTTACCAGGAAGTTGACTGCATACCTCAAGTAATTACTGCTTTGGTGGTGTTGAAAACTCTTTGAGGCTAGCCAGACCAGCGCTTACAGCAGGGTGGCTCCCTGGTTTTTAAATAAACGCTCCACTTATGCACCAGATATTTCATTAACATGCGCCCTGTTGTCATACTCAGATTGATTATTGGTTACAGACTCGATCACATCTTCGTTAGCTGCGTTTAAAGTAACATGTAAGTGCACGGCACGGGAATGCCATAGTTACATACCAATCGGTTGAGCCTCCTCCGTAACATCTTTAATTCTGTCTTCTTTGGTATCTGAAGACACTGATGAGCAGCTGTTCCTTTTGTTGCAGCCAACTACAGGCTAGTTGAGCTTGATGATGAGTAAGTTTGCATGTATGATGGCAAAATGCGCCCTATTTAGCTATCTACTACTTTCTAACCTGTTTCCCCGAGCTATATGCAATGCGGCGGTGAAGTTACATCGTTTCCATATTAATTGAATCCTGTGATCTCTAACCATTCGCATTCTCCTTTTGGATACTTTGCGCGGCGCTAGTCGCGGGAGCTCCCCGCGCGCGGGGTTGATAGAGTCAGGGGCATCCTGTACTCTGTGTGCCCTGTTGCTGAGCCTCCAAATTATTCACCGCATTCGCTTTCCCACGGTTAACGGACTGCCCGCGACTGATTGACGAGGTGGGGTAAAGTGATGGCGATCTCTTGAAGGTGCGGATTTCCACTCGTGTGCTGCCGCCCCCTCCTCTCGTTCAGATTCCTGTCAAACACATTTTACTCTCCTAACGCAAGTGCCGCTACGACAACAAGCCCCGCCCCTTGGTGCCGTCATGACGCAAGCTTTCTGGGAAATGTGTTTTTAGGCAAGGACGATTCTTTTTTTATTGCATCTTCAAAAAGCTTTTCACTTTTGAGAAACTTGTTCAGTTGAAATTAACGTTGGTTGTAGTAATCGGAAATTGTAAATGTTGACCTTTAATCATTGTCATAGTAAGGTTATGAAGGAAATACTCTTTGTTATATATATGCTATAGGCCTACAGTATGCTATATCTTGGGACAAAGCATGGAAAATCCAGCATAGAATCAAGGTCAAAGTCAAAACAGTCATAAAAATTACATGTAATATTATATATATATAGGCTATAATATAAAAACCATAACATTTATTTTGAAATAGGCTATACGTTGATTGGTGTAGGCCTATGCTGTAGTATAGACTCTTGGATAAACTAAATTAGCAAATGTGGCACACAGTAAAAGTAATGATGCACTGTATCATATTTATTATTTTATTATTACATGCTTTAAAACACCTATATATATCTTACGTATTTTATGTCTGTGTCAGTGGTATTGCAAATACATAGACTACATGAACCATTAATAATACAGTGTGTCGCTTCTGGGATGGGAAGGGATAAAATGCATTTTACCAAAAGTACTGAATAACGGACGTCCTCTCTCACCCTTTTACTCACACTGTCAGCTTGTTGATATATTTTGTTATAGCACCACCACGTGGTTCATGTTTAGATTGCAAGCATGTTATATATTTACCCAACAAGGAGATTGATCCAAATTCTAAATAAATTCACATGCAGAGTGGTCACACTTTAATTAGTTTTTTGATATGTTATACATTTGTAGGCTCATTTTAAAATCTATCTATCTATCTATCTATCTATCTATCTATCTATCTATCTATCTTGACATAAACTTTTTTGCTCACCAGCTACTATGGCAAGTGGTTTTCCAAAGTTACTAGCTACTCACCGGCCACAATTTTGTTGTTGGGAAATTAGGGGTGTGGCGATACACAAGATAATACACGAGTCTCGTCGAGACAATACACAATATTGGGTTCACAAGAATGAGAGATGCGAGAATATTTTACCACTATATTAAAGAAATTTTCAATGATGAAATATATGACTGGAAAAATTGTCTTCTATTTGACTGAAAATCACAAAATGCAATGCAGGTGCATTCATGGTTTAACTAGTCCACAGTAAACAGTCGATTATTTTGACGATCGAGTAATCTGATTTTTTTCTGTGGGGTAATAAAGTTAGATCTAAGTGAATAATACTTCTTTGAAATTTACTTAAAATGCATAAGGAGGCAATTATAATTGTTAATAATACGGTATCAAAAGCAGCAAGTAAATGTTTTATTGAACAAGGGCCTATTGAACAAGGGCCCATGATAGTTGAACAAACTCAGGGTTATAGGATTAGTTTCAAGTTGACAAAACCAAACCAATTCAATCAGGCTTTGTTGGTAGCATGACGCTGATCATCAACTTTCTCTGTCAACTCAGGCTTTGATTCCGAGTTCATGGAGCGTGTGCAAATGAAAGTGAACAGCCAATCACATGCCTTGAAACATAGAGAAACAGGGGCTGACCAAGGGGGCATGCTCACAAGTACTGGGCCTGGCGTCAGACTCCTCTGCCAAGTCTGACTGCCAAGGGTGTTGGAGGAACCTCAAACAAGGGTTCGAAAGCTGGGGCTGCACTCCTTTTAGAGTAAGCTCAAACTCCGAACGGGCACGGCATGCCTTGAGTTTGGTGCGCCAAGGCAATGTCTTCTACTATCCAGTGGGCCAAACTTTGTTTGGAGACAGCCTTTCCCTTCTGCTGACATCCAAAGCAGACAAAGAGCTGCTAAGAGCTCCTAAGGCTCTGCGTGTGGTCCACGTAGGGCATGAAAGGGACACAGCAACATGAGGGCTGGGTCTGCCTCCTCCAGGGGCAGTGCTTGCAAGTTCACCACCTGGTTCTGAAAAAAAGTGGTGGGAACTTTGGGCATGTCCAGGCCAGGGTCTCAAAAATGCCTGCAGGTCCCCCACCCTCTCTATGGGTGTGAGCACGGTCAGGAGCGCTGTCTTGAGGGACAGGATCTTAAGCTCGACTTACTCTAGCGGCTCAAAGGGCGCTCTACACAGAGCTGTATGTACAGGTGGTAAGCCATTGAAGTCTGCCACGTCCTGTCCAGAAGCCACACATGGAGGTTCCAGAGATCTGGAAGCGGGCACCATATGGTGCCCCGTCCTTGAGAAAAAAGGTATTTCCTTAGGGCAATCCGCCAGGGAGCTGTTGTCGCAAGGAGCATCAGGTCCGAGAACCAGGTCCAGGTGGGCCAGTATGACGCAAGCATCAAGACCTGCTCCTCGTTCCTCCCTGACCTTGCACAGTGCCTGTGCAAGCAGGCTCACTGGGGGAAATGCATACTTGCGTAGATCCCGGGGCCAGCTGTGTGCCTGTACATCCATGCCAAGGGTCCCCTCGGTCAGGGAGTAAAAAAGCTGGCAATGGGAGGATTCCGGAGAAGCAAACAGGTCTATGTGCATCGCTGAATCGACTCCAGATCAGCTGGACCACCAGGGGATGGAGTCTCCATTCTCCTGAGCTTGAGCTGTCGTGAGAGCGTTTCGGCTGCATGATTGAGCTCGTCCGGAATCTAAATGGTGCAGAGCGACCTGAGCAGCTGCTGACACCAGAGGAGGAGAAGACAAGCGAGTTGCAACATGCGACGTGAGCGTAAATCACCCTGGTGGTTGATGTATGCCACTGTCGCAGTGTTGTCCATCCGGACCAATACGTGCTTGTCCTGCAGCAACGATCTAAAACCTGCGCAGGGCTAGTAGTACTGCTAGCAACTCAACGTAGTTAACTCAACTCAACTCAACCATTGCTGCTCAACTCAACTTTGATATGCCACTGCAGTTGAGGTCCTGTCCAGAAATCAGAAGCTGCATACCAGCAATGGTGGAAAGTAACTAATTATGTCACGGGTGACAAAAACGCTTAGCGAGCGGAACCCTCCTTACGAGTCACGAGTTTACGGAGGGAACGATTTGTGTGCGACACATCCCACTTCGGTTCCTGATTAGCGATAATGCACTGAGGGTGCGAGAGAGAGAGGAGCGGCGTTCACACCGGCTTCCTGCTTCACAAGTCAAAGATAAAAGGGCTATTCAGAGAGGTTTGGGGAGAGAAGGAAAGGAGTTCTGGTTTTCTCTGAGCAGTTTTGGGCACAAGCTTGCTCGGGGAAGTTGTCTGGGTGTGGAGGCCGCCCATTGAAGTCTGCTGGATCAGAGTTCGTCTGTGGGAATCTGCTGGATTGATCTATCGATTGAGTCTGCGCTGTGAAGGGAGAGAGAAAGATAAGTGAATTGGTTTTATCTTATGAACATTTGAAAAGCTCGAAGAGGATGCAGTGAATGTAAATCTGACTGTTGGGGAAGCTATTTGTTTCAGGAGTGTAACAAATGGATTGAGGCCTCTGATCAGCCCTATCGTGTGAGTGAATTGCAGCGCTTTTGCCTTAGTTATATACCTTGATTCATTGTCGTGGATTTGAAGTGAACACGAGTGTGGTGTGCTTTTGCTGAGAAGTGGCCCCAACCCCTGCTTACACGTTTGTGAAAAGTTATTATATCTGCTCTCCATCAAAAGCCCAGAGTGATACAGCTGAGCTGGAAAGTATCCTGTACTGAGAAGAATCCTTACCTTCCTACTTACTGCCTGAGTCTGGAAGTATGCAGCATCGCTGGTGAAGTAAGCTTTTAAACCATTGTCCCACTACTGTGCACTGACGAAAGTATCCTGTACTGAGAAGAATCCTTACCTTTCTACTTACCGTCTGAGTCTGGAAGTATGCAGCATCGCTGGTGAAGTAAGCTTTTAAACCACTGTCTCACTACTGTGCACTGACGAAAGTATCCCGTACTAAGAAGAATCCTTCCCTTTCTACTTATCATCTGAGTCTGGAAGTATGCAGCATCGCTGGTGAAGTAAGCTTTTAAACTGTCTCACTACTGTGCACTGACGAAAGTATCCTGTACTGAGAATAATCCTTACCTTTCTACTTACCGTCTGAGTCTGGAAGTATGCCGCATCGCTGGTGAAGTAAGCTTTTAAACCACTGTCTCACTACTGTGCACCGACGAAAGTATCCTGTACTGAGAAGAATCCTTGCCTTCCTACTTACAGTTTGAGTCCTGGAGTGAGCCGTATCCTTGGTGAAGTCGCCGTTAGGGCGAGACTGTGACGTTCGATCAGTACCTACTCATAGCCGAAGAAGACCTAGAGGACACTGAAGTCTATCAAGTTGGTGCTCGTTGATATATTGTGTTCAATAAAGATTGTTATTCCTTTGAACTTATCTCTGGTCTGTGTCGTCCATCTGTTGCGGTCTCGTGGTGTCGGCTCCTCACGGTGGTGTCTAGGTCAGGGGTGGCTGGTCATCCGAGTCCGGCCCGCACCGGTGACAATTACAAATACTTTCTTTACAGTAGCTACTTGAGTACATTTTTAAAAAAAAAAAATCTACTTTCTTGAATATAACTAAATTGTGGTAGTTTTACTTTAATTGAGTTGAATAAAAATAAAGAATTCAACTTCGCTACATTAATTTTTCACCAAAAGTAGCCTACAAAGTAAGTTACTTCACAAAGGTGCTAACGGAGCAACAGGACGAGCTGGCATTAGACAGACCCTTCTTTAAACTACTGCAGTGGAGCCCTGCGCTTCAGCCAATAACAGACAGGTCTGATTCGGGAGCAAAACCAATCAAAACTTCCAGTTCGGCTCGCCGGAGGTGCTTTCAAACCGCGCTTTGACGTTCAATCACTGGCGCTCGCGTTTTGAATCAGTATAGAGAGCCTATAAAGCCTTGTTTATACTCGACGCGTCCGCAAGAGCGCGAAGTGCGCGCGGCAAAAATGACGTCATTGCGGTGTGGGCGGTCGTGCGCGTTTAGTGCGCAAGACCCCATTTCGCCTGGCGG